GCAACAATACTCTATCCTGATTGTTTTCAAAAATAATCTAAATAACTATATAAATGCTATGCTAACTAGATGCTAATATATGCTATCCTGATCGTTTTCAATACTCATAAATCCAACTCCTGACTCGCTACAGTAGTTTTGACGGAATCAGATGCTTTTATACCAGGGGCTGCCAAGGGCGTGGTGAGCTCGCACCAAGGGTGTGACAGAGTGGCGTCTTAGAGTTCGCTATGTCAGCAAGTACCCCTACTGCAGGAGCTTTCCGTTTAACCTGAAGAGGGCAGCACTCAGACGTTTTTACACCATATATTTGAAAATCAAAACACTTTATACTCAATTGTCAAAAAATGTACTCGAATCAATGAACAGCATTTATAAAGCGCCATTCTTACAGATCATTAACTAAAAAAAGTTGTTTTGGTGTTTAGTTACCCTTTAAAGATCCCATCTGGTCCGTAATTGTATCCCTTAAAACTCATCTTTGATGACTATAATAAAATTACATATTTAAATGGTTTTTTTTTTCGTGGACTTTAAATGAGAGCTAAATGCATTTGAAACTTGAGATTTGTTAACAGTTGATAACTGAAGAATCTGATCTTCTGCCTGCAGTAAATGTCCATGTTTGCATGAAGTTATGTTGTATGCCAACTCTGATATTGTAATAATAAAGGTTTTAAGGGAATATACTGGTTCAGTAGGTTCCTGGTGTATTTAAGGCATGATGTTAATTCACAGCAGGGGGAAAAAAATCCACCCCCAGTTTGTAAAAGAACAAACATATTGATAGTATACTTACAATAAAGTAATTGCCCCATAGACTTCCATTTTAAGTAGCAATGAGTTGAAATTATTTTCGATGGCAATTGACATTCTGCCTAAAATGCTGTCGATACGGCTTAACCTGTAAAGAGCTTGACTTGTATTGAACCCTGAGCATCCTTTAACCTAATGTGTTGAGTAATGGGTCTTGCCTGTGTTTTGTGTGAAATAAAATCCATTCATTACCACTAAACTAACAGGTGGTATTTAGTTGATTTTACCAGTCTATCAATGTAGGCCATCTTGTTGCTGTCAGTGTTTCTTTATTCAGTGTGTTTAGCTACTGCCATCTATTGGAGACACAATAAAATGACCACAAAAAAAAAACCTTGCAAAATATACATTGAACTATGTACTCAAAAACATATAGAACATTTAAAAGCCTTGACATCAATGAAATATACCTTATGAATTGAGTAATTGTAAAACATTGATGTGGATTTGAATAACTAGGCCTAGTAGGTAAAACTCAGATACAAGTCACAGTAACTCATATTTATGTTAGCCAATTTAAAAACAATATTGAGAAATAAAGTGAAATTGTTTCATTTGAAGCCATCTTAAAATAGCAGCTAACTGTTAGATAGCAATAGCCAACTGAAATGCCTATCTCGTTGAGTTAAAATTGATCTAAAAGCTTATGCTTAAATACTTGAAATTACAATGAAATATATATATATATATATATATATATGTATATGTATATATACATATAGTATGTACCCACTTGGAGTGCTTGAGTGAATAGGTTTTGCCCAAACTGTGACCTGTCAACAGTACAGCTGTAGTAAACCACATGGATCACGTGTGGGTGTTAACCGGAACTGAGTAATGCGTATTGACTGTTTTATGGGAACTAATTAAAATTTCCATTATCTCTAAACTAGAAAGCGACAATTTGGTGTAAATAATTCATCAATGTAGACGTTTTTACGTCAGTGGTATTTTACGTGTTTATCTACCGCCATCTATTGGAGACACAAGCAGATGAACCGTGCAAATCATGGTGAGGAAACCGGATACCACCTGATGTGTTTAGAGAAGGTTATTAATAGTTAAATTAAAAATAGCCTAAAATTCTAGAGTTCATTTTAAACCACAGCCGATGTATTTTAACATTTGTAGATATCACTGCAGATAATTAAAGCATACAACGGTGATAAAGATGTGCTTTTCACTACACTCACAGTGTATGATTGCAGAAAAAATCATGTTTTTTTAAAAAAAAAATCTTATAAATGTAGTACTTTAGCAGAAATAATGCTTTTAATAACTTGTTCGTTGTTGTTCACTAAATATACTGTCATTAAAATATGTTTATTTTAAAAATACAGAAATAAAAATTATTTTAAAAAGTAACGATTCTGAAAGCATTGAATAAGATCCCATAATGTAATATAGCTTTACAGTAACAAATATGATATTTTTAAATATGATGATGGTTATTATTATCTCTAAGGTGACATTCAAAATATATGATATTTACAATCTGAATCTAACCAACAAATGGAAACGTCAGCCAGCTGTTTATTATCATGTTAAGTTGTGCTTTTCGCCTCAAATGCTAAATTTCTTCCGTTATTGAAGAAACTGTTGCATTAATTACCCGAATAACAAAACTGAAAATCCGAAAAGACAGTTGCCTCAAAATATAGTCAATCATTTTATTGATGCTGTCAGCGATCACGTCAAGGATCAGAACAATGTCCAGTCCACGCGCATTGTAACCAAGCGTGCCACACAAGTCCTCAAAAGTGAAACCAAAACGTCTCAATCGAGACGTTGATTGAGACGTTTTTTATAAACCCCGCCTCCCCATGTTATAGTTTCTGTCATTTATTGTAGTTTCTATCACATTGATGTAATTTCAAGTGTTTGTTTTTTAGTTATTTGATGCTATAAAAACGGTGCTATGACATCATGATTGACAGGTTCTCTTTGCAAAGTAGTCACTGAAGCACCAAAGGACTTTTTTTCCATAATTTTGACTATGTGGTTAGTAGTTGTATTTACTTTATTTTAACGAGGTAATGCAAGCAAATCAGCTGACACCATTGGAGAAGAACGGAGCAGACAGAGGACACTTAATATAAGTGCAGGGCGTGTTTGCGATTGATTCAGGGACAATGAGGGCGTGGCCTTGATTTCGCGGCTTTACTTCCTGCTCGTTCCAAATGTTCCAAAATGTTCCAAAATGTCAGCGCCATATCGGGACGCTGGCGGCTTCAGTTCTCTCTGGTGGAAAAGAGCGAAGGGACGTCATCCATCTTTTTTACAGTCTATGATTGTAACGGTCACTTTGTGCTTTATGGAAATCTGAGGTAAAATGAGAACTGTGCATGTGCGTAGAGCGTCAGTTAGATTTTGACAAGTGAGGAGAGACCGCTCTGCCGACTCTCTTTTTATTCTTTCTTTTATTTCCTTTTTCTATTGTGACCAGAGTTGGTTGTTTGTGTCTTTTTTTTCTCGCTCGATCCCCATGTATGTGGACAAGTGCGACGTTTGAGTGGTTTTATTATACGCGGGAAATACGACACCTCTCGTCTCTCATGCATCTCATCTTTTCATCCGACAACTAATGTTTTTATCTCTGGGCAACATCTCTACTTTGCTTTACAGCACCTTCAAAAGTGCTGAGCTGAATTTTCAAGGTTCAAGGTTCAAGGTTCAAAAGTTTTATTTGTCACATACTCATACAAGATGCGCAGTGAAATGTTTTTGTGACGTACTGTACTTCTGTGCTCAGTCGAAGATAAAAATACAATAAATATAATAGATACAATAAATACAGTACAATAAAATTACATAAGTTAAAAACTAGACAGACAGGTGTACAAATGTTAAAATTCAGTAGCTTTTGTGCCATCTAGCGGTTTAAAAGAGAATAAAGCGCCCCCCTAGCGCCCTCTATTGGCCAGCCGCCCCTGGTTAATGATGAAAACATTCCAGCATTTTTCTTCATATAATGCACTTTACTGGTAACCAAACTGTTTAAAGGGCTTTAAACGATTTCAGATGATGAATAAGGGTCTTATCTAGTGAAACGATCGCTCATTTAAAAAAAAAAAAAAAGTTTAAGTTTTATAAGCTCAAATGGTCACCTTGCTCTGTTCTGTTTCGTTCAACTCGTTTGTCAAAATGAAAAAATCTTTTTCTAAGTCAATTTGTTCGTTTCGTTCGTTGAATGAACCAAATTACACGAAAAAAAGATTTGTTTATTTTGATAAACGAGTTCGAACAGGAGAGTCACAAACGCGCATCACAGAACAGAGCAAGGCGACCATAAAACTTCAACTTTAATTTTTTTTTAAATGAGTGATCGTTTCACTTGATTTTGCTTGATTCGTTTAAAGCATTTTGAACAGTTTGCACTGAAACTGTCTTTTGGACCTTGAACCGTTTGGTTCCCATTGAAGTCCATTATATGGAGAAAAATCCTGGAATGTTTTCATCAAAAACCTTAATTTCTTTTCGACTGATGAATGACATGGACATCTTGGATGACATGGGGGTAAGTAAATTTTCAGCAACATTTTTTTTTTTTTTTTTTAAAGTAAACTACTCCTTTAACCCCTTGTGTCCTAGTGACACATAATGACGTTCGTTATCTTAATACACTTTAACTTATGAATATTGGCCATAAGTGTCTGCACAAAGAAACACTTTTAGACTTGACTTTGCGGGGGACGGAGCCACGGAGCTCCATTTGTAGGCTAATGTTGCGTGGACGATGTGCGCGAGATGCCAGCAGAGACAGATGGAGGCTCCTCTTGGACGCCGACCATTGATTCCCAATGATTAGCATTAGGAAGCAGCGCTGCTCTTGATTACTGCCTGGCAACCATGAACATGTCCATTGAGTTTTAATTAACACAAAGTGAGATGCATTTCATTAGCATTCTAGAAAAAAAGACGTCAAAAGATAGTTCGGGCAAGAGCGATTCGCTTTGAAACCTCACCATGAAGATTATATTAATATTTAGTTTGACATTATGTGGTTGATAAGTCTTTTAGATAGAAGTAGCGGCCTATTTATCTAATTCTGTGCTGAAAATATGACACTAAATCTTCAGACTGAAGCCTAATGTAACAGTGCATCAATGTAATTACATACTTTGATAAATTAATATTATTTACATAACGACAGTGTCTATGATGAATGAGACACATTTGCAGTCTACGCATGGGTGACTATTTTTATTGAATGTGAATCACAAATGTGTAAAATAGAAACATAATCTTAATCATTTACACGCCAACTTAATATACGGGCTCCCCACAACCTTTCCAGTCGTGCATGTTACACATAATACAGTCCTGAACGTATCGGGTTTATAGTCATTCATGCAGTTTATGAGATGTATACATACATAAAAGTTTCATGAACGTTAAAATATTCTTAAAACTAAAATGTACAATAAAATAACATGCATAAATAGTAACTGTAATATTGATTACAACGTTTTTAGTGCAAGTGGTTTCATCTCAGGGAATGAAACGGATGAAGAAGTGTGGTTCAGTTTTCAGCCCTCACGTTATGTGTACGACAGTAATTTGACGTCATAAGAGCCTTCCACCTGAAAATAAAATAAACACGTTAATTCAGTACGAAAGAAAGAGAATGGTATGGGTAGAGGACAGTGTAACTCACGTCGAAGCGTCCGATGGAAGCCGCAGTCTGGCTCGCCTGCATGATCTCAGTGAGCGCCCACATCTGCTGAATGCTGGAGGACACCGCCTCGGGATCAGGAAGTCCCTGAGCAACACACACACACATTATTAAATGCATAATGCACTAAACACCTGACGTCGTTTCAAACGTTTAGCATTTTTGCTTATGTAGAACACAAACGGAAAAAAAAAGGAAAAATCTTGGTATTGTGGAGTGCAGTAGCAGATTCAGTTTTGACCAGCAAGTGGCAGTAAAGCACTGCCATAGAGAAGAGAATAATTAGTATTGCAAGAATCAATATATAGATGTAGAAAGAGTGTATATCACTCATTTCCACATAAAAGTATTCATCACATAAAAACAACAGATCTCTTGCATTTAATGTTTTAGAGTAGTGGTGATAAATGGCTAACTGGTGATTTTGTTACTAGTTATGCCCTCTTACAAAGTCTTGATTTTGTTTTTGGGCTCTAGAACATGTTTTCATGCTAGAATGTTCATTATTTTTTCACATATTCCCCATTGTTGCAGCTCGTCTGTTTGCAGTCTGTCAGTGACACTCTGGTGTGTGTTTCCCGAATGCATTGTTAGCCAACTACACTCACCTAAAGGATTATTAGGAACACCAAATTGATACTGTGTTTGACCCCCTTTCACCTTCAGAACTGCCTTAATTCTACGTGGCATTGATTCAACAAGGTGCTGAAAGCATTCTTTAGGAATGTTGGCCCATATTGATAGGATAGGATCTTGCAGTTGATGGAGATTTGTGGGATGCACATCCAGAGCACAAAGCTCCCTTTCCACCACATCCCAAAGATGCTCTATTGGGTTGAGATCTGGTGACTGTGGGGGCCATTTTAGTACAGCGAACCAATTTGAAATGATTCAAGCTTTGGGACATGGTGCATTATCCTGCTGGAAGTAGCCATCAGAGGATGGGTACATGGTGGCCATAAAGGGATGTACAGTCAGAAACTATGCTCAGGTAGGCTGTGACATTTAAACGATGCCCAATTGGCACTAAGGGGCCTAAAGTGTGCCAAGAAAATATCCCCTACACCATTACACCACCACCACCAGCCTGCACAGTGGTAACAAGGCATGATGGATCCATGTTCTCATTCTGATTACGCCAAATTCTGACTCTACCATCTGAATGTCTCAACAGAAATCGAGACTCATCAGACCAGGCAACATTTTTCCAGTCTTCAACTGTCCAATTTTGGAGAGCTCTTGCAAATTGTAGGCTCTTTTTCCTATTTGTAGTGGATATGAGTGGTACCCGGTGGGGTCTTCTGCTGTTGTAGCCCATCCGCCTCAAGGTTGTGTGTGTTGTGGCTTCACAAATGCTTTGCTGCATACCTCGGTTGTAACGAGTGGTTATTTCAGTCAAAGTTGCTCTTCTATCAGCTTGAATCAGTCGGCTCCTTATCTTGAGCAAAATAAGTAATCTGACATTCAGTACAACCTATATCTTTTATTTAGAATACACACAAATGTCATTTACGTCTTATTTTGTCAAGAGATTTAAAGCGCAATTTTTTGAAGACTGCGCATGTGTGAACGTGGTCTAGTGTTTAAGACTCTGATTGAATCTGGAAATAAAGCAAAATAGCTGAGAAATAGTCCTCAATGCCATGTCTGTAATTTATATCAACACATCTAGCGTTAATTCGATCTCAACCGGCTTCATTTAAATGAGTTATTACTCCCAACACCTGCGTGACGTCATAAACCAACGTGGTTGAAAGACCACTTTGCGACAATATGGTTTCGGGACTAGCTAGTTGGTTTCTTCAACGATGTACTATGGTAGTGAAGCAGCGAGTTATGGCGTTGCACTCCTGTTTAGTTCCTTTCTCTATAAATGTCCTCTGATTGGTAGGCTGGATCGGTGTGTTGTGATTGGTCAACCGCTTCAAATGTGTTTTAAATCAACAAATTATGAATTATGATCACTTCCTCTGCTTTATAACTGTTTAAATAAACATTAAGTTGAGCCTTCACTGATAAAGCTATAGAGACACTTTCAAACCATCAAACAAGCATTTTACATTTCTAATGCAAATGACAGATAAATGGGGGCTGGGAGTTGGGACACATCAACAATGCTCAGCGATTGAAAAACCACAACCTGAGAGTTTCATACATTTACGTAATTATCTTTTCGTTCTGTTCTTAAGGAAAATTGTTAATTAACACCTCAGAGCTGCATAAATACATAGAAACTACAGAGACGCTTGTGTGCTGCTAAATGAAAGGGCATTAGCAGTCTTTAAAGGGAGCATTGTATATGCTGTTAAACAGCAAGATGTTCAATATTCATTAGATGACAACTGTTGTGCATTATACAACAAATTATAAGACACACAATGCTTACATTCAAATCAAGAGGTTCCTCTACAGGTGTGAGAGTGGATAACCAGGCAGGAACGTCTCGCTCCGAGTCCTGGACAGACGGAGACAACACAACCACTGAACAAGGTTTGGTAAAATAATGACAAATCAAGCAAAGACTTACGGAACAAAACAAAAAAAATATTTGGGTAATGGAAACACAAAAATAACACATAGACGAAAGACCTCTAAATAAATAAATAAATAAATAATTATATATATATATATCTAACTCCAAACAAACACATACAAAATGAAACAAAACCAAGCAGGAACATATTGTCCACTGATGACGTTTTGGTAAAATACTGCTTCATAAAAAAAGCAAATACAACAAAAGCAAACAACGATGACAAAAACAAAGCTAAACAAATCCAGCCAGGGACATCTAGCACATGAATCCTGGACAGCCAAACACACACACACACACACACACACACAAACCAAAAACCAAGCAAACAAAACAAACTCCAAACATAAACAGAAAAGCAGACAAAATAAAAACTGTCCAGGAAAAAAAAAAAATTAATAGAAAAATCTGAACAACTCTGTAGGTTTTGTTAAAAATAAGGTTTTGATTGAAATTAAACAAAACAAAAACCAAGCAAAAAAAGTAAAACAAAAAACAAACAAACAAAAAAGCTAACCATATCAAAAACAAACTTTAAACAAACCAAAACCAAAGCATACAAAAGCAAATCAAACAAACAAAACAAAAGCACAACAAAAGTCTTTAAAACAAACTCCAAACAAACGTACAACGCAAAAAAAAAACAACTATATCAAACACAAACTTCAAACAAACCAAAGCATAGCAAACCAAATCAAACAAACAAAACAAAAGCACAACAAAAGCCTTTAAAACAAACTCCAAACAAATGTACAAAAGCAAGGAAAAAAACACCAAACTATTTTTTTAATTCACAAAAAAAAGCAAAAAAACATTTATTAGCCTAGAAATCTAGACGCACCCTAGCGGCAGCAAAAATTATTTTGCAGCAAAGTGTGGTCTAGCAACTCTCCATAGACGTTTTAGCTGGAAAAACTCAACTCTGGTAGGGCCAATCACATCGTGTATAGAGTCGGCGGGCGGGCTTTACAAAGTGACGACAGAGTTGCGACGATCAGAGCAAGCTCGGACATATTCGGGTTTAAGTCGTTCATCCTCGGATGCGGCCGGCGCCGCGCGCGCTGTTACAAAAAAGCTTTTGCTTGATGATCAACTTGTCATTTTGTCGTCGAGGACAAAGGCTTTATTCCGTGTCAACGCGCGCTCTGATCGGTTATGGTGCACGGACCTCTCCCGAATCATCTCCACCACCCCGAAGCACCACTACTCCGCCTCCGTTTCCCTCGTAAGCTGATATTAGTATTTAAACATTCTCTATGATGTTATTTTTTTCTGACATACTGTCTCTTTCTCTCTCACACATATGTTGGCTAGTTATAAACTCTTTAGACATTTAATGATTAGTGTTTTATTTTTAAAGTTTGTGGGTCGTGTAAAAAATAAAAAAATCCCTTATTTTGGGGATGTATTCCGGGAAATCTCCCTTTTTTCAATGTTGACAGCTGGACTGGATGCGGTAAAAGTTTAATATATCAACTTGCTCCGCTGAGTACGTCACCTTCTTCGTTGCTCTGATTGGCTTTAGCGCTATCCAATTGCGTGCAGAGAGAATTTGAAAGACAACCGTTTATCCCGCCCCTCGGATTGAGCCCTGTCAATGAAGAGTCTCCAGACCTAACATCTTGATGTAGGTCTGGCATGCCAGGCTAAACATTTATTGTACTGTTCAAAGTAGTTAAAAGTAGTTATTTATTCTACATAGTTACCTCTTTTGCACACGGGTAAATGTTAATTTCCTCAATGCTGAAATTGTGCCACTCTGATGAGGGCTGTCGCAGGATGAGTCTCACTGTGGTCACGGCGTCAGGCTCCGTCAGCATCTGAGAAGCCCAATATAGAGAAGAAAAGATCTCAGCAAGAAGTGACAGAGTTGAGAGAGCTCTGAGTCTTTCATGCAGCAAGCAAAGAAACAAAGGAGGTCAAATCAAGAATGAACGTCAGAATTTAGACATTAAGGATGTGCGTTTTCTGAGCCTTAATTAACTAGACAGAATGAAAACCTGATAAAAGAGACAGTTTCATGTAGTAATCTGCAAAACTGCTTGACATTTGTGTTTGTGTTGATGACTGACGTGTGAAAGTTTCTTTCTACTTCAGCTGACAGTGGAGCTTCTACATGTCAGAGAATCGCCCCGTTAACTTTTAACTTATTTTCTGTTAACTTTTTGCATGGATTTTTTTGAGTTAAACTTTTTCTTTGGAAAAATGATATTATCATATTATTAATCATATTGGAAAAGTGATATTATCATATTATTAATCATATTTCAAGCAATTCAAAAACATCATTGAGAAAAGTGCATATCTGAAATGTCTCAGCTGAAGGAAATAATGCATTATTTATCAGATTTAATATATCGGACAAATTTGCTTATCAGGCTGATATGATAACATAAAAAATTAACATGTATTGGCCAATAACGATACATAGAGCCCAAATTATATTGTGTATATTTTTAAAAATATATACTTTTTAAAAACGTTTTAAATCCTTTCCTGGAGCATTTTCTGAATACAGTAAAAACTTAAATATTGTGAAATATTATTACATTTTTCTATTTGAATATATTTTATAATGTGATTAATTCCTGTGATCAAAGCTGAATTTTCAGCATCATTCCTCCAGTCTTCAGTGTCACATGATCCTTCAGAAATCAGTCTAATATGATGATTTGACACTTTTATTATCAATGTTGTGCTGCTTCATATTTTTGTGAAACTGTAAAATCAGGCAATTCAGCCAAGAAAATGACATGATCTTCACAGTGACACAGCAGAAATGTGTCGCTTTTTTATGCTTGGAATAAGTTACTTATGCAAAGGAGTAAACCAAGGCTGCAAAGACTGGCAAGTTATCTGCTTGTTTTCTCCGAGATTTAGAGAGATTTTGAAGGCCGTCTCCAGAGAAACCATACAAATGCCACACACCACCACTCTTATCCTCTTTAAATCATTTGTGCTTGTTCACACCAAAGTGAACATTTGCTATTATAAACAATGTAATTGTAATTATTACAAAAAAAATATTTTTCAGCTTTATATTATATATATATGTATATAAATATATATAAAAATATAATATAAACCTGAAAATATGTGTATATATATATATATATATATATATATATATATATATATATATTTGTAATATAAATAAATATAATATAAATATAATTTTAATATAATTTCAGGTTTAGAACTTAAATTTACTTTATTTCAATTTGTTTGCAAGGGAAACGTTCTAACTTTAAGTTTTTTTTATATAATATATATTTTTTTTTAAAAATAGTTTTAGTTTTAGCTAACATATACACTCACCGGCCACTTTATTAGGTACCCCATGCTAGTAACGGGTTGGACCCCCTTTTGCCTTCAGAACTGCCTCAATTCTTCGTGGCATAGATTCAACAAGGTGCTGGAAGCATTCCTCAGGGAGTTTGGTCCATATTGACATGATGGCATCACACAGTTGCCGCAGATTTGTCGGCTGCACATCCATGATGCGAATCTCCCGTTCCACCACATCCCAAAGATGCTCTATTGGATTGAGATCTGGTGACTGTGGAGGCCATTTGAGTACAGCGAACTCATTGTCATGTTCAAGAAACCAGTCTGAGATGATTCCAGCTTTATGACATGGCGCATTATCCTGCTGAAAGTAGCCATCAGAAGTTGGGTACATTGTGGTCATAAAGGGATGGACATGGTCAGCAACAATACTCAGGTAGGCTGTGGCGTTGCAACGATGCTCAATTGGTACCAAGGGGCCCAAAGAGTGCCAAGAAAATATTCCCCACACCATGACACCACCACCACCAGCCTGAACCGTTGATACAAGGCAGGATGGATCCATGCTTTCATGTTGTAGACGCCAAATTCTAACCCTACCATCCGAATGTCGCAGCAGAAATCGAGACTCATCAGACCAGGCAACGTTTTTCCAATCTTCTATTGTCCAATTTCGATGAGCTTGTGCAAATTGTAGCCTCAGTTTCCTGTTCTTAGCTGAAAGGAGTGGCACCCGGTGTGATCTTCTGCTGCTGTAGCCCATCTGCCTCAAAGTTCGACGTACTGTGCGTTCAGAGATGCTCTTCTGCCCACCTTGGTTGTAACGGGTGGTTATTTGAGTCACTGTTGCCCTTCTATCAGCTCGAACCAGTCTGGCCATTCTCCTCTGACCTCTGGCATCAACAAGGCATTTCCGCCCACAGAACTGCCGCTCACTGGATGTTTTTTCTTTTTCGGACCATTCTCTGTAAACCCTAGAGATGGTTGTGCGTGAAAATCCCAGTAGATTAGCAGTTTCTGAAATACTCAGACCAGCCCTTCTGGCACCAACAATCATGCCACGTTCAAAGTCACTCAAATCACCTTTCTTCCCCATACTGATGCTTGGTTTGAACTGCAGGAGATTGTCTTGACCATGTCTACATGCCTAAATGCACTGAGTTGCCGCCATGTGATTGGCTGCTTAGAAATTAAGTGTTAACGAGCAGTTGGACAGGTGTACCTAATAAAGTGGCCGGTGAGTGTACAAGCATAAACACATTATAAAACAGTCTATTTTAAACTTATTTCTTCTGTATGGTCATTTTAGATCTTGACAGCCCACTTGACTTTAAATGTATGAAAAAAGCAGCAAGGGTTTTGTTTAAAATAAATCATCTTTTGTCTTCTTCCACAGTAGAGAGAAAGTCAGTTTTGGAGTAAAGGTTGAAAAAAAAACATTTTGATTTTTGAGTGAACTTTACATTCACAGTAATAATCCAAAAAATGTCCTTGTAATTATAAAGACCCACAAGGACGTTGTTTTATATAGAATATTTCTACCTTTCTTAATAAAGACATATTCATCATCCCACTTCCCATTGACAAAAAAAAAGAAAATGTCTTGTACAGATTATGGCAGATGGGGTGAGAGCTATGTGGCGTCCCAGGTGGGATTTTCAATGCAAATTTCATTTGGTGACACTAAAGGTGTCCATACAGCGCAGAACTTCACGTCCAATCATCCGAGAGTTCACTCGAGGACTCGTGTCTAATATCCTCATGCCTTTGAAACAGAGCTGAAAAGCGTCGAGGGAGCCTGATCTCAATACATTAAAGCAGTCATTACAAGCAACTCACAGATCAAAGACCGGGACATCAGATCCCCGGAGAGCCACAAATGGGCCAAATCACCGTGATGACAAACAAAATGTTCCCCGAGCTGCTGCGATTATTCTGGGATGGCTGACAAAACGGTTAGGCTTTTTTAATTGAAAAACTGAAGATATCCTGCGGACACGATTATTGGTTTTGTCAGAGAGCAAATTATTTAAAAAGATTACAAATATCACATATTTTGCCTATTTGCAAAAGCAGTAATTATGACATACAGCTATTTAAAATATAAAATGTCTTAAATGCACAATTTGAAGAATTCATTTTCTATGAAGGTTCGGTAACATTTACTGTGAAATTTTTTGGGTTATTTCAGTAGGAATCAATGCATTTGGGAGTTTTGTAGGAGAGCGAAAAAGTTCCTAATGCAGATTAAGCTCATATCCATGTTGGTCACGCCAAAATGTTTTGATTGTGTCAGTGTCATTTCGTATGAAGCAATTGAGATTAACTCTTAAAATTTTGAGAAATAAAGTCACATTGCAAGTTATAAAAGGCAGAATCACAAAAATTTAAGTCAGAATTGCGAGAAATAAAGTCAGAATTGTCATAAAGTCAGAATTACAATAAATTAACTAACTGTTGCGAGAAATAAAGTCAGAATTACGATAAATTAACTAACTATTGCGAGAAATAAAGTCAGAATTACGATAAATTAACTAACTATTGCGAGAAATAACGTCAGAATTACGATAAATTAACTAACTATTGCGAGAAATAACGTCAGAATTACGATAAATTAACTAACTATTGTGAGAAATAAAGTCAGAATTGTGAGAAATAATGTCCGAATTGTGAGAAATAAAGTCTTAATTACGATAAATTAAATATTGCGAGAAATAAAGTCCGAATTCCGATAAATTAACTATTGTGAGAAATTAAGTCAGAATTACGATAAATTAACTATCTATTGCGAGAACTAAAGTGAGAATTACAATAAATTAACTATTGCGAGAAATAAAATCCGAATTATGATAAATAAACTAACTATTGCGAGAAATAAAAGTGAGAATTACGATAAATTAACTAACTATTGTGAGAAATAAAGTCAGAATTGTGAGAAATAAAGTACGAATTGTGAGAAATAAAGTGAGAATTGTGAGAAATAAAGTCAGAATTACGATAAATTATCTATTGTGAGAAACAAAGTACGAATTGTGAGAAATAAAGTCAGAATTGTGAGAAATAAAGTCTGAATTACGATAAGTTAATTATTGTGAGAAATAAAGTATGAATTGTGCGAAATAAAGCCAGAATTGTCATAAAGTCAGAATTACAATAAATTAACTAACTGTTGCGAGAAATAAAGTCAGAATTACGATAAATTAACTAACTATTGCGAGAAATAAAGTCAGAATTACGATAAATTAACTAACTATTGCGAGAAATAACGTCAGAATTACGATAAATTAACTAACTATTGTGAGAAATAAAGTCAGAATTGTGAGAAATAATGTCCGAATTGTGAGAAATAAAGTCTTAATTACGATAAATTAAATATTGCGAGAAAAAAAGTCCGAATTCCGATAAATTAACTATTGTGAGAAATTAAGTCAGAATTACGATAAATTAACTATCTATTGCGAGAACTAAAGTGAGAATTATAATAAATTAACTATTGCGAGAAATAAAATCCGAATTATGATAAATAAACTAACTATTGCGAGAAATAAAAGTGAGAATTACGATAAATTAACTAACTATTGTGAGAAATAAAGTCAGAATTGTGAGAAATAAAGTCCGAATTATGATAAATTAACTATTGTGAGAAATTAAGTCAGAATTAAGATAAATTAACTATTGTGAGAACTAAAGTGAGAATTATGTCAAATTAACTATTGTGAGAAATAAAGTGAAAATTGTGACAAATATAGTCAGAATTATGATAAATTAACTATTAAGAGAAATAATGTGAGAATTGTGAGAAATGAAGTGAGAATTGTGAGAAATAAAGTCAGAATTATGATAAATTAACTATTGTGAGAAATAAAAGTCAGAATTGTGAGAAATAAAGTACGAATTGTGAGAAATAAAGTGAGAATTGTGAGAAATAAAGTCAGAATTACGATAAATTATCTATTGTGAGAAACAAAGTACGAATTGTGAGAAATAAAGTCAGAATTACGATAAATTATCTATTGTGAGAAACAAAGTACGAATTGTGAGAAATAAAGTCAGAATTGTGAGAAGTAAAGTATGATTTGTGAGAAATAAAGTCTGAATTACGATAAGTTAATTATTGTGAGAAATAAAGTATGAATTGTGCGAAATAAAGTGAGAATTGTGAGAAATAAAGTCTGAATTACGATAAATTAACTATTGTGAGAAATTAAAGTCAGAATTGTGAGAAATAAAGTATGAATTGTGAGAAATAAAGTGAGAATTGTGAGATATAAAGTCAGAATTACGATAAATTAACTATTGTGAGAACAAAAGTACGAATTGTGAGAAATAAAGCAAGAATTGTGAGAAATAAAGTCAGAATTACGATAAATTAACTATTGTAAGAAATAAAGTACAAATTGTGAGAAATAAAGTCATAATTGAGAAATAGAATTGTGAGAAATAAAATTGTGATTTTATATCTCATAATTCTGACTTTATTTCTAGTAATTCTGAGTTTAGGTCTCCCAATCTTGACTTTATTTCTCAAAATAGTTAGGTAATTTATTGCAATTCTGACTTTCTTGCAATTCTGACTTTATTTCTTATAATTCGATGAGAGTTTATGAATGCTTTAAAACATCCATAATTTTGTGCACACAATAAGATAACCGGTAAACGTGCGGACGCAAGAAAGTTGACAACATTGATTTAAAGATTTACTTTATTGATAACCCGAGATCTTTTAGCCTGTTCTGTTTTCTGTTGATGCGTGAACGAAAACTTCACTAAACATTATTTGTGCCATCCAATAATCGCAACGTTACTTTACATATGAAACAAAGTTTAAGCTTTCAAATTATACCAATTTTATAGCGAAACTCAAACAATAAAAGTCGTTTTGATAGCATGACAAATTGCTTTATGTATTTAAATATTTATAGGGTTTAAAAATATACCTTATCATTTTGAGTGTTGATTATTAAATAAATATGAATAAATACTGGATTATTAAACCAAATGTATTTTGAGTTTCATTTTCTGGCGATAACTATAAAACTAATACATGACAATTAGTGGTGTAGTGGTTAAAGATCCAAAAGGCTGAAGGTTCAAACCCTCACGAAGGGACTTTTATTCATCCATGGAGCACAAAAGCAGAAGCTTAGCAGAATGTTCACGCTGCTCTTTTCCAAATGACGAATGTTTTGGTTTTGCGTTCCCTCTCAGTGGCCCGGTCCTACCTGTCGTCTGTGGATGGAGAAATAGTCATGTGACCCAGCCTCAGCGTGCGGGTTAGCCATGAGGCAGTGGTCTCTCAAACAAGTAACCCACTTAGCAGAACCCTCCTCGCGGCGCTGCAAACGGACCGTCAGATATGCCGTGTAGTAGTTCTTGAAGGAGATTTCCTGAATCTAGACATGAGCACAAAAGGGATATACCGTGATGTCATAATAGATAGATATCGGGCGGGTCAATCAATAACTGTAACCTTTCTGAAGTGATGCAGTGTGAGAGACACGCACGTCCACGGGCTCGGCGAGGGTGACGTCTGTTATGTAGACGCCAGGGCGAGATGAATCAGATACAGGGTCTCCAATCTGCAGCGGGACGGGCGACTTTATAGTGCAGCTCAAGGCTTCCGCACTCATGGCTGACCCTGCGATGAGAACACACAGCTCAACTCCACAAAGAGCACTACTTATCGAGAGCATTGTTATATCGCTGACACTTTACATTAAGGTTCATTAGTTAACATAAACTAAGAATGCACAATACTTCTTCAGCATTTATTAATCTTACTTCATATTCATTTCAACCTTTACTGATACGTTATTAAAATAAAAAGTTGTGTTTGTTAACATTTAATGCTCTGAACTAACATGTCAATTAATACATTAATAATGTTTACTAATTAACCTTACTGTGAAGCGGTACCATTTGAGAAAATATAAAATGAAAATCATTGTTTTTTTTTTTTCAAATGCTAATTTTGTTTTTAATATTTAAAATAATTTTATATGTAGTTATCTTTTGTGTTGCTATAACAAAAACAACAACAATATTTAATAATGCAACAATAAATAACATAAAAAAACATTTAAATAGCATTAAGAATATATATATTTAATAAATAAATAAAAATGACATAAAAAATCTTCCAGTTTAAACTAGTTTCTGCAACATATCTATATTTAAAAATATTGTAGGTTATTTAATAGCTTTCCAGCAATAATTTAAACTAAAACTATTAACACAATTCATAATAAAGATATTTATACTTCATTTATATGATATATAAATAGTATATAAATAACACATTTTTCTTAAATATATACGTGCGTGTGCGTTTATAATAAAACAATTTAAAAATAATTTTATATGTAGTTATCTTGTGTGTTGCTATAACAAAAACAACAGCAATATTTAATAATGACAACAATAAATAACATTACAAATCCATTTAAAATAACATAAAGAATATCTATTTTAATAAATAAATAAAAAAAATATAATAAAATCTTCCAGTTTAAACTAGTTTCTGCAACATATCTATATTTAAAAATATTGTAGGTTATTTAATAGCTTTTATTAAAATTTTATTAAGCAATAAGTAAAAATAACACAATTCATAATATAGATATTTATACATCGGTTATATTATATATAAATATTATATAAATAACACATTTTTCTTAAATATATACATGCATGTGTGTGTTTATATATATATATACAAAAAAGCATAGCCTGCACAGTACACGCATATTATATGTGACTAAGACTTTTATTTTGGATGTGATTAATCGTTGCCCAGCACTCATTAGTATACATGTAACAAAACCACTGTGATGTAAAGTGATATACATACTTATCACTTTTATAACACAACATGATGTAAGGCGTCTTAAATTTAGATTTTGGTTATAATGTGATTATAATTTGGTTATCATTTTGTGTGTGTGTGTCATGTAGTGTAAATCTTGTTATTATAACATGCAAAAAGCAATTCCCATAAATAACACTTTATGAACAATATTTAATTCCTTATATTTACAATCTTCAAGCATTTTTTTTTTCATATTCTTAATTTTTCTCTTTTTATTGTATTTGTTGTTATTATTACTTTTTATTTCATGTCTAAGTGCAAACCCTATCAAAGCATTTACAGTAAAACAAACCCTCAAATGAATTGTGGGAGACGTGCCACACTAACAACAGCCGATGAAGCGCCCGTGTGGCATGACGCCCGTTTCACACATACTCCGTTTGCAGTGCGTAGCCTATGCGGTGAGTGTTGCGGTGCCTATCCGGTACAGGAGCCGCACGCGCTAAAGTGCTTTCACATATGCTGCGTTTGCATTGCGTGAGCTGTACCACAAACATTTGCTATTTTTATTTCAAAATCAGAAGTTATGCAGCAATAGCGTGACCAGTGACCAACAGTCCTGTTATCCCAGTCCTGTTTTCACGTCCTTCCTGGCCGTTTTTATAAAGTGATGTCCTGGTTTAAAAAAAAAAAAAAAAAAAAAAAAACGCTGGAAAAGATCAGCTTTATAGCAAATAGGAGATGAGCAGACAAGGAGGATGAGGAGGAAAAACAGGATAAAGAGGAAGGAAACGAGTTCGTTTTTGTACGTTTGTGAGAGGTATTTTTGTTCAATTTGAAGGTAGGCTATTTCTTTTTGTTAATTAATATTGATATATTTATTTTTCTAATACACAAGAGACATTATTTTTTAATCATTATTTCATTCATTATTTTTTAAACCAACCTGTCATAATAAAACATGTTGAGTATCCTCTGAGAAGCCTATCTGATTTTGTGTCTTCAATTTTCTATCCACAGAGGGGGCATAGCCTATTTTAATTGTATTGAAATTACTAAGTCATCTTTGAGTAATCTTCGAGTATCATTCCTTTTCTGGGCCATGTGTCCTGGTTTTTGGTAATCAAAACCATATGCAGTAACTTTTTTTAAAATAAAAGTTTTGCCATGGCTTTGCGATTCTCTTTTACAAACTTGAATGGACGCATGCTCGTTTAAACACGATTTAAACAACGAATGCATACAATTCCATGCATTACTTGTATATTAAGATCTCTTAAAGTAAAAATATGAAACAATTAAATACCTTATGGAGAGATTACTACATTTTATTGAATTAAATGCATTTATGGTGAAACTACTACATTTCGAGGTCAATCTGAGTTCATTTTGACCACGAACCGTGTGCTGTCACTTTATTTCTGCGTTTGCAGCACAGCAGAAATAGACTCGGTACGGAAACGATCTCTGCACTGCTGTATACGCACCGCAACTGGAACGGATCGACGGACTGCATCCGCGTGCAGTGTGAAAGCTCTAACCTGTTAACATGGGTACGGAAAAAAATACGGACCGCATACGCACTGCAAACGGAGTATGTGTGAAACGGGCGTAACCTGTTAACATGGGTACGGAAAAAAATACGGACCGCATACGCACTGCAAACGGAGTATGTGTGAAACGGGCGTGAGACGCCGTCCGTGATGCTGTCTATGTAGGCGGCGCGCTGGGCTTTGATCACGCCCAGTATGCGTCACTGCGGTAACGTACTTACTGTATTATATTCAGCTGTCTGACTCGCTCTTTGGACTAAAATGATCTTGTGTTGAATAGCCGAGACGTGCCCTTGCTGGAGCGCTTTAAAGCAGCAGCAGCGTCATTCCAGACTCAATGTGCAGGAATCAGACGCGACTTAATGATTTTTATGGCTTCATGTGTTGATAGTCGCAGCTCCACATGTCTCTTCCGGTCCTTTGTGTGACGTGCGTCTCTTAAAGGGCCAGTGTCTTTAAAGTAAACAAAGGGACCAGCCCAGCACAGTCGGTGATTATACATCACTTTACATCACAGTGGGTTTGTTACATGTATAATAATGCTGGGCTGAGTGCTGGGCAACAATTAATCGCATCCAAAATAAAAGTCTGTGTTAGCATATATGTGTTAGTCTGTGTTAGCTATATATATATTATATATTATTATATATATAATATAAATTAAGTGTATATATATATATATATATATATATATATATTAGGGCTGGGCAACGATTAATCCCGATTAATTGCATCCAAAAACAAGTTATCAAATATTTATATAAATTTATACTTAATTTTATACATGCAAATATTTCCTAAAAATATATATATATAGGCTATGCATGTGTGTGTATTTATATATACAAATTAATTATACACACTACACACACATATATTATGTAAACAAAAACTTTTATTTTGGATATGATTAATCGCGATTCATTGTTGCCCAGTACTAATAATAATACATAATAACAAATAGTTATAACAATGGGAATTCTGTTTATTTCATTGATGGGAAGAATGCTTAAAATACAAATTAGTAGTTCAAACAAGCTTCTGCAAAATATCTGTATTTTAAAATACTGTGTTATTTATAGCAATTATTCAAACTGTAAAACAATTAACACAACAATGCTTAAACTACAGAGTACCATAAAAGCTATAATAAGGTGCCCCCAAATGTGTTTATTATTATTGTTCGTATTTATATAATTGTTAATCTAATGAGAATACAATCAACTCAAGTACATTACCAATGTGAATCACTACAACCAATTTTCTTCCCTTCAGGCACGCTACATTTCTCTTAGCATGTGTGAATTACTGTCGCAGTTATTCATTATTGTTGAATCCAATATGTTGAAGTAGTTCATCACAAAAGCCAGAGGCAAAATGAATGGCAAATAATGTAATAACTGTTGTGTTAAATCACCTGTTTACATGTGTATGCTCCTGTCTTCGCTCGTGCTCACTGTGACCGGCAGAGGGCGCTGGCGCTCTTCGGCTGACAGTGACGCTGAGTACAGTATGTACTTCTGAAGCAAGTACTCAAGACCCTCTGATTGGCTTTATCTCTTATAAAAAACACATTTTTGCTCCACCATCGTGTATATTGTTCGGCATGCATGACATAACATGCTCTTTCTGTCAAAGTCAGGATAATTAAGGGTGCATAATTATTCATGAGATTCATACTAAAGCCATTGTTGATTTAATACCGGTCCGAGAGAGAGAGAGAGTGAGAGAGAGAAGATTTTCTTGTATTGCAGTGTTACTATAGAAGGCTGTTTTGTCATCAGTAGGCCTATGTTTATCAGATCCGTGACAAGCTTACACATTTTTATTATTTATAATAAATCGTTTCTTATTATATTGTTTATTTTATATTATTGTTCTTAGTTAGATAGGTTGCACTGTGTGGACTCACATCGGCAGAAAAACAATCGTTTTTTTTTAATAATCACACACAAATGTAATAATAAATGTAAACAATAGTTATTCTGTCTTTCATAACAATTATTATTAGTACTCACTTAAAACGCGCGCGCGCTCAGGACGTTGTGGCACGCGCATCCTCATTGTGCCGAAATGAGTGACAAATAAATGAATAAAAACAGCTCATGCCATGGTTCGCTTTGGGAATGGGTATCGGGAATAAAATATGTTCCTCAGCTGTGCCAGGACTGGCCGAGAGGATCACCGAGTATTTTAGTCGGAGAGTTTGTTTATGGCAGTTTGTGCACAGTCGCGCCACGCTTCTACAGTGTGTTAATCACGGTTCACGCGCACCGCACGGTCCAGAGTATTATACACCCCCTCAGAGACGACTTACATGGTGCGCTCTGGCTGAAAGGCAAAGAAAAACACCTTCAAGGACGGCAACTCTGAGGGAAAGGATTTATCATCAAACATGTTTCCAAATGAGCCACAAACTCCCTTTCCACGAGCAGTGCTGACAGGTTCGGTAGGAGATGTTTTGTTTTGTTGAGTATCTTTTCAAACTGACCCTGTCCACAATCCTTAATGTATCGTAAGCATTCACAACTGTCAGAGCATTTGCCTAATTTAAAGCCACGAGATAATTCTGAACAAAATCGAGGAATGAACGGAGTGACGTCATTATTAAACACAATGAGGCCAAAACTAAGTTTGTTGGAGTTCATGCGTGCAGCATTTAGGTTTCATTTGTTAAAGGGTTAGTTCGCCCAAACTAAATGTATTTACTCCCCCTCAAGCCATCTATGACTTTCATCTTACAGCTGAACATTATCGAAGTTATATTAAATAATATCCTGGCTCTTCTAAGCTTTATAATGGGAGTGAATGGTACCTTAGATGTTGAAGCCCAAAAAACAATTCATAAAAGTAGCTAATCACGAACCCACAGCGGTTAATAAATACCGTCTGAAGCGAAGCGATGCATTTTTGTAGGAAAAATAACCAAAAATATATAGCTAACTATAATCCCTGGCTTCCGGTAACGGGATTATTGATCAACTATACTTTCCCGTTTCCAAGGAATGTTAGATGTCACTCTTCCGCTGGAACTAGACTCATGTACGGCCGTTACAGAAAGCCAGTGATTATAGTTCATAAAGTTGTAAATATGGATATTTTTCTTACAGAAACTCATTGCTTTGCTTCAAAAGGCCTTTATTAACCCACTGGAGGCGTATGGATCACCACTTTTATGATGTGCTTTTTTGGGCATCAAAATGCAATTTGTGGACATGATACTTCACATTATCTGTGCAAAATATCACTATTTGTATGTGTTTGTATTCTGGAAGAGCAAGGACAACAAAGGTTTGCCATCTTAGTTTTGTGCCCTTGTGTGAACGCTTCATTTATTATCGCACTGAGAAGAAATCTGCTGAAATGGAAATGGTGACTGAGCTTTCAGAGTTTACTGGTTGTAATTATAGTAGTAGTTCCAGGAGGACATGAATGCTTTTTTACTCATAATTATGGTAATTACAACATGCCGTGAAGGCACCTATACAATCATGACTTTGTGAGTATTTTTCTAAGTGACAGGAGAGGATGAATCCAGAACTTACTTTCTCTGTTGTTGCATTTGATGCTATTTAAAAAAAAAAAAAAAAAAAAAAAACAAAAAAAAAAAAAATCGCCATTAATGAATATGGCTGTGTGAAAACAGTAATATGGTTTGACTTCCTTTCATCTGCTAACTATAAAGTTACATAGCACTTTCTGTCTAGGTACTCTGATACAACCAATTATCTTTACATTAATTTTTTATGTGATTTTAGTTTTAATTAGCTTACATGCTAGCATAGCATGCAGCTACCTGATTAGCCTGATAGCTTAGCTTATACACTAAGCATTTGAACTTAAGGCCAATTTATACTTCTGCGTAGGGTGCGCGCAGTAGGTACGGCGTAGCATACGCACAGACGCGTCCCATACCGCGTACCCTTCGCCGTCGCCTGACGCACACCTCTTCAAAAATGTAACTACACGTCGCGACGACGCGGACTGCAAGATCGGTGATTGGTCGGCCTGGTAGCATCG